CCACGCCGTGAGTGAAAAATTAAAATGGTGGTTTTATTACATGGTTTTTTACGCAGAGTCCTGTGACAATGATCTCCTTCTCTCCTTTCTTTAATGGAGGAGATCTCTTTGGAATCGTTAATTTTTCTTTCGTTCGCCGTGGAAAGATATGTATCGTTGAAATTCGAGAAATATCTGTAATTTTGTAATAATTTGGATTCGTCGTTGTAAGTGTAAGTTACGTGAATGTTTACTTTTTACAAAGGATAATTTTGTCGAAAAAATGAAACGTTGTAATTAATGACGATTACTTTTATATGAATCGGTGAAAGAGTATTGTTTTTAACATGGATGAACAATTTTGCTTCCCTTTGCCCCCGAAGAATTTAGAGGTTATTAAGAAATTTAACAACTTGGGCGTATATGTAATATTTAAAACGTTTGCATTTGATGTATACGTGCTTGGATACGTGTAAAGTTTTACCGTGTTTAAAAATTCTGTATTATTATTATTATTATTATTATTATTATTATTATTATTATTATTATTGTTATGAAGATAATAATAGAAGAAGTTTATTCGCAATCAAAGTTGTTTCGATTAATTTATTTTTACGCGAATATTCTATTAATAAGTTAAATTATTCGATCGAGCAATTGTATTATATAATCGCTTGCGCAAACTATTAATAACTCTCGCGTGTTTCAAATATCGTATTCCTATATTTATATGTTTACTTTGTACGAAAAGTTTTATTTACGGAGAGTGCTATTTTACGATTAATTGCATCAACGACTGTGTATCAATTTGTATTATACAATGATATATACGATATATGAAGAGTAATTAAAAGTCGCAATAAAAAGTCGACAATAAATAAAAATTATTATATCATATCATTATTAATTTGGATAAAAGAAAAAAAAGATAATTTTATTTCGTATTCATATGAAAGATCAATTTGTCGAAAAATTGCGAAACATTTCCTTCACTTATCGGTAACGAATTGAAACTTTCATCAAGTTATCATATACATATGTCGGTTGCAGTTCACTCGAGGCCCGTAACACGGCGCTGAACGATAGCCAACCAGAACGATACCGAAAGATAATCTCGCCTCTGGTAAAACTTGCCTTGCTTAAACTTCATTACTTAAAATTCCCTAAATTTTCAAAGAACAACATCCTCGTGTAATTCGTCCTTGTTAAAAACATAACCACACTTTTTTTCTTGATAAAAAGATCATCCCATAAAATTTTATTCCATTCTCAATTTTATTTAAACGAAACAAAGAGATCCCCTCCCAAAAGCGACTCTATGATATATATAGTTAAAAATTTCGAATTTATTAAAATGCTCAAATATAACCAATCCGTTTTACAATCTCAATTTCTATTTTGCATTTTATCCGTTATTCGAATTCCTCTCTTTTCCAATTTTCCAACGTGCAAAAGCAACCTCAATTAACATCCGTGTTTCCCTTTCCAGGGATCGAACCCCTCCAAGCCCTGCCAATAAAAGTTGGGTAAACGGTCGATTTACGGGAAGGGGGCTGAGACAGTATCGCAGGTATGAACGTTAACCCTAATAAATAACCGACGGTGTGGGGAGGGGGCGTGGATGTGATCCCAGCTATGCGTGGAAGCCCCGACTATTCAGTGGATGCGGCCACGGCCGGATTTGCATTGCCGTCATTGTCGCGATTTGAATCGGTCGCTCCTCGCTCTGTCGCCGCGGCTTGTTTCCATTGTGGCAAATAATTCTGCGGCGCGGCGCAGATTAACGATTCCCTTGAATGGCGGAATCGCGACTATCAAGGTGTCTACGCGATTCGGTTTATTCTATCTACTTCTAGCCACTTCGGCGAGCAGACGTCCGAGCTTTATTATGCTAATTTTTCTTATCGACGGAGGAGGGAAAGGGGGATGGAATCTCTTCGGCCCCGCTTCGAAGAGAGCAGAATAGTGCGAGTGTTTTTTCGAAAGAGAGAGAGGGAGAGAGAGAGAGGGAGAGAAGAATTAAAAATGCAAAATGAAGAGGAAAAAATGGTACGAATGTTAGGACAAAAGAAATAAAAGGCAGGAGAGGAAATGTACGTGAAAAATATAAAAAAAGAAAGGAAGAGGGAGAAAGGAAAGAATGAGAGATAAGAGGAAATAAGAAAGAAGAATTCCAGGCGTATGAGAAGAAAAGAGATGAAAATGTTAAGAATTAGAATTAAAGAAATAAAAGAGAGAGAAAATTCAACGAAATAAGGTTAAAAGAGAGAAAGAAGAATTAAACATGCAAAATGAAGAGGAAAAAATAATATCAATGTTAGAACAAATAAAAGACAGAAGACAAGATGAAAAATATAAAAAAAAGAAAGGAAGAGGCAGAAAAGGAAAAAATGCTAGAGCAAAAGAAATAAGAAAGAAGAATTCAACGTATGAAAAGAATGAAATGAAAATGTTAAGAATTAGAAATAAAGAAATAAGAGAGAGAAAGAGAGAGAAAATCCAATGAAATAAAGTTGAAAGAGAGAAAGAAGAATTAAACATGCAAAATGAAGAGGAAAAAATAATATCAATGTTAGAACAAATAAAAGACAGAAGACAAGATGTACGTGAAAAATATAAAAAAAAGAAAGGAAGAGGCAGAAAAGGAAAAAATGCTAGAGCAAAAGAAATAAGAAAGAAGAATTGAACGTATGAAAAGAATGAGATGAAAATGTTAAGAATTAGAAATAAAGAAATAAGAGAGAGAAAGAGAGAGAAAATCCAGTGAAATAAAGTTGAAAGAGAGAAAGAAGAATTAAACATGCAAAATGAAGAGGAAAAAATAATATCAATGTTAGAACAAATAAAAGACAGAAGACAAGATGTACGTGAAAAATATAAAAAAAAGAAAGGAAGAGGCAGAAAAGGAAAAAATGCTAGAGCAAAAGAAATAAGAAAGAAGAATTCAACGTATGAAAAGAATGAAATGAAAATGTTAAGAATTAGAAATAAAGAAATAAGAGAGAGAAAGAGAGAGAAAATCCAATGAAATAAAGTTGAAAGAGAGAAAGAAGAATTAAACATGCGAAATGAAGAGGAAAAAATGTTAGAACAAAAGAAATAAAAGACAGGAAACGAGATGTACGTGAAAAATATAAAAAAAAGAAAGGAAGAGGCAGAAAAGGAAAAAATGCTAGAGCAAAAGAAATAAGAAAGAAGAATTGAACGTATGAAAAGAATGAGATGAAAATGTTAAGAATTAGAAATAAAGAAATAAGAGAGAGAAAGAGAGAGAAAATCCAGTGAAATAAAGTTGAAAGAGAGAAAGAAGAATTAAACATGCAAAATGAAGAGGAAAAAATAATATCAATGTTAGAACAAATAAAAGACAGAAGACAAGATGTACGTGAAAAATATAAAAAAAAGAAAGGAAGAGGCAGAAAAGGAAAAAATGCTAGAGCAAAAGAAATAAGAAAGAAGAATTCAACGTATGAAAAGAATGAAATGAAAATGTTAAGAATTAGAAATAAAGAAATAAGAGAGAGAAAGAGAGAGAAAATCCAATGAAATAAAGTTGAAAGAGAGAAAGAAGAATTAAACATGCGAAATGAAGAGGAAAAAATGTTAGAACAAAAGAAATAAAAGACAGGAAACGAGATGTACGTGAAAAATATAAAAAAAAGAAAGGAAGAGGTAGAAAAGGAAAAAATGCTAGAGCAAAAGAAATAAGAAAGAAGAATTGAACGTATGAAAAAAGAATGAGATGAAAATGTTAAGAATTAGAATTAAAGAAATAAGAAAAAGAAAAATCCAACGAAATAAGGTTAAAAGAGAAAGGAAGAAAGAGAGAGATTCGTTTTCGAAAAATGGAAAAATATGGTGGAGCTATGCTAAATTTTAACGAGATAAGAAAGAATGAAGAACGTGAGAAGGAAAACGAAGGTGTCGAGATCTTTCTTTCGAAATTTGTATTTAAACTAATTAAAGCGTAAGTAAAAAAAAAAAAAAACGAAAACGAAACTTGAAAAATCTCAATTCATCGGAAGAAAGGGAAAGGGGGAGGGGGAAATTCGAAAATGGAAATGGAAATTTTCCAGCGGGTGGATAGGAAATTGCACAGCGAGTAATAACTCAATTATCGACCGATGACTTTAAACGGTTACCGTTTTATCGGTGCCACGCGCCCCGAATTCCGCCGGAATTGAATACGCGTGCCGTTCGATTCCGTGGACAATTCATTGGCGGGAAGGGTGCGCTCGGGCAGGTGAGCGCGACGCCATAACGAGTCGGGGCATTAAATTTATCCGTGCTGCACAAAATAGCACTCCTGATTAAACCCCCGAATAAATTACGCCGATATTCATTCCCCCTAAAAATAACATAATCAAGCGTCCGAAAATCACATTACATTTCGACATTAAATCTCTTTTATTCTTACGCGCAAAAAAAAACTTCCTTCTTCCTCCTCGATCCTCGATCTCGGAAATTTCCAAATTTTTCCAAATTTACATTTATATTTTACAATATAAATAACACATAATATTTTAATAATATAATTTAAATATATTTTTTACAACAAATATTTAATAATATAAATAACACATAATAATTTCCAAATTTATATTTATTTTATATAAATTTATATCTATACGGAAGGAAAAAAAAAAAATCGTTAAATATCCAAATATGTCCTTTTTTTTCCCCTATACAAAACTTTTCAAAACAATGGAGAAGAGATGAAAGGAAAGGGAAAGGAAGGATCGGAGAAAATAGAGGATAAATGAAAAGGCGAGGCGACGTGAAATGCGGTTGGAAGAAATTCGATCGTTTCGGATAGGCGCATTGGCGGTGGGCCTGAATCAGGTGGCGGAAGGTGGGGGAGGGGGGTGAATGCGGCGCCAATAGAAGGTGCAGGGGTTGAAATGACAGGCGGGCGCATCTATTGGCCACTCGGTAGGATCGTCACGTTCCGCACGACAATTTATGACGATTGGAATAGCGGCCAGTCGAACCTCCCGCAGTAGCGAGGATGGGGGGGAAGG